TAAAGAGTTTGAAGCTTATTCTGAAAGATAGAGAATTTTACGCTTATAATGTTAGTGTGGAAGGCTGAAAAGTTAAGGACAGAGCCTGGAATTTAAAACTGATTTGTTTGACAAAACTTTTAAAAGTTTGAGGCAAAGGACTAGCTCACTCTGTTGCCCAGGCTAGGATGCTATGGCATCAGCCTAGCTCACAGCAACCTCAAAGTCCTGGGCTGAAGGGATCCTCCTGTCTCAGCCTCCCAAGTAGCTGGGACTACAGGCAGGCATTATCACGCCCAGCTAGTTTTTTTCTGTTTTTAGTTGCCCGGCTAATTTTTTTTTTTCTTTTCTATTTTTAGTAGAGATGGGGGGGCGGTCTCACTCTTGCTCAGGCTGGTCTCGAACTCCTGACTTCAAGCGATCCTCCCGCCTCAGCCTCCCAGAGTGCTAGGATTACAGCTGTGAGCCACCGCACCCAGCCCTCAAGTCTATTTTTTAATTAACTAAGAATAAGCATCTCAGTTTATGTCTCGTGTTAGATTATTTGTTTGCTTTGAATTTGTTAGAGTTAAGCTTCTTCTGCTTGAGAGTGGTCCAAAATAGAAGGATTGGGTATGCTAGTATTATATGAACATAAAAAAGAATTGATTAACTTTTTGTATTTAGTTATTTTACTGCTGAAATGATAGTGTAGGCAGTGTAGTTCTAGTAGTTACGGGCTCAAGATATCTTCCTGCCTTAGCCTCCCAAGTAGCTGGTACTATAGGGGTGCACCACCATGCCTGGCTGCTTCCTCCTGTTCTATCTTATCCTCTTCTCTATCTCAATCTCTCTCTGCCTTTCTCTTATAAGGAAGCTTGTTATTTCATTTAGGGCCAACCCACATAATACAGGGTGATCTTTTCATCTAAAGATCCTTAACTTAATTACATCTACAAAGACTCTTTCCATATAAAGTTAACAGTCATAGATTCTGGGGATTAGGACATGGGCATATCTTTTTGGGGTTACCATTTAAGTCATTACAGAAATAAACTCATTCTGGCGCACTGAGACAAACTTTGTTAATGGAATAGGATTGGAAAAAAATCAGTGTATTAGAAAGGATAGTATTTCCTGACATTTTTATATGTATTTTACATATGTATGTATATATGTATATACTATTTAACTGTGTAAAACATATTTCCTTATGTGGATCTTGGTCAGAAAGGTTTGCAAAGCTACTACCTAATATAATTGCTTTATTTCACAGGTGAAGAAATAGTTACAGAGAATTATTAAATATATAACACGCCAATATCATTAGTAGAACTAATCTAGAATCAGCACTTTTTTTAACTGTAACGTGCTCCTTTTAATTCTTAGTCTTAGAATACCTTTCATAATGCATACTTATTTCCTTCATTTTTCTCTGTGCTTACCTCATCATTCTTTAACGTTTTATTACAGAAAATTTCAAGCATTTACATAAGTAAGTAAAGTAGTATAATGAACTCCCATGTGCTTATCACCCAACTTGAACAATTATCAACTCCATGGCCAGCCTTTTTTCATCCAAACTCTCATTCATACTTTCCCTAATCCACTTCATTCATCCTTTCCCCAACCCACTCCATTATTTTGAGACAAATCCCAGATCATATCATTTACTAATCTGTAAATATTTGTTTATATCTCTAAAAGATAAAGTTTTCCTTTTTAACGTAACCACAATGCCAATATCAGACCTTAAAAAAATTACTTCTGTAGTAACATTAAATATGTAATCACTGTTCAAATTTCCAGTTATCTCATAAATGTAATAAGTAGTATGGGCGGGTATTTATTTTAGAGCCCAACACAGACTCTGGCACAGAGAAAGGGCTACATAAATATTAAAGGAGAGAAGGAAAGAAATACTAACTTGCATTTTTCTAAAGCATCCAAATTGCTGGCTGTAGATAAATGTATTTCTACTATGAAGAATTTCTAGATCTATTGTTCCATTTCATCCTCTTTATTCTTCATTCAGGATGCATGTTGTGTTCACAGCGAAGATACTCCCTCCAGCCTGTGCCAGAGAGGAAGATTCCAACCCGATACCTAGGCCAACCCAGCCCCTTTACACACCCACACCTTCTCAGACCAGGTAAGTCCTTTTAACTGGAATGACAATGCTATTCAATAGAATTTTTTACAGAGTAATGGAAATATTTTAGATCTGTGCTGTTC